CTATAAATTATCTCCGGTTGTTACCACCTCTAGTTAGGTGGGTGTTCAAAGGAGGTGTTTGTTGAGTATTTGGTAATTAAGTGCACAATGCCTTTCTCTATCAGAAGCAATGACATTCTTTGGCTCCTGCCTGTCAAGTGGGCCAGTCACTCACTGATTGATTCAACAAGACAGACAGTTCTTGCATGCTGAAGCCAGTGCAATTCCGGTCCTCAGGAAGCAGTTTGGTGAGAGATCAAGGGATTTTCTTATGAAGAAGAATCTTTTGGCAACAGGAGAGAGTGGAATGGAGGAAGCTATCCTTTCTTTTTGGCTGTGATGGCTCTGGTCATAGAAAATTTCCTCTGAGTGCTAGGAAAGTGAGGTGGCTTCCCTTCACCTAGGCAGGTGTCCTGTCATCTGTCCTGGGTCAGCCCAGGGAGAGGAAAGGGAACTTCCTAGCCACAAGAACTGCGGGTGTAACAGCAAAAGACTGACTCCTAGAGCCTGGACCATTTTTTTCTTTCCAGGATTATCTAAAATGTCTAAGGCAGGATTTCTCCAAGTCTGATCCCCAGCCACCACCACCAGCAGCAGTAGCAGCAGCAATCCGAAAATCTCAGACCACTTGGCAAGTCCATGTGTGCTGTAGCCAGCCCTCTGCTGGCTGGCATGTAAGCTCCAGGACACTGCTCTCTGTATTTGGTCACCATGAACAATTCCTTATGGAAGCTTTAGAATTGCAGGTGCCTGTGTCCTGCTCCTAGACATCCCCAGTGACTGATAACTAGAGCATGGGATTTTTTGTATCCTAAGATGAGTGCAATATGCAGTGAATGTTGAGATCTACTGAGCCTACTGCTCTGATAGCTATTGAGAAAACGGCCCGTTGCTCCTCAAACTCTCCCAAGACTTTGGTTACCGGCCTTTTCGTTTTCTGTGTTTAAAAAAACAATTTCCAGGCATTTGCCAAGTGGTTAAGAAGCAAACATTAGTGGAATCTAAAATGGTGCCTTTGCTTCGTTTGAAGACACTGCACAGGGAGCAGGCAAGGTTAGCATTCCAGAGGCTTCCAGAACCACAGCAACTTGCTGCTTTCATGGGCTCTATGCAGATGGCTGACTGATTTTGGACATTCACTCTCAGGTGTTGGGGGAATGTTCTATAAACCGCAAGCAGTTGGTGGGCTGGGGGAGCAGCCCCAACTCGGGTGTGACCTCTCCTAAGGCCCCACTTCGGAGCAGTGGAGAAAGAAAGGGCAATTTGGAAGATGGATGCTGATATTCCCCACCCAGGTATTCAGTACAATGTTCTGTTGAGTTGCAACCATCAATAAATATACTCACTGGAACAAAAAGAACAGTCTCCCACCCAGCCACATCCTCAGAGCAGCAATGAAAGAGAGGACCACGCCCTCAGAGCGAGTCCGTTCTCCAGTGGGAGCCTCAGTACAGCACAGCACACTGGCCCTTCCCTTCTCATGTACTGGGATGAGGCCTGTGGCACCTCTTGGCTTCTCTCTAATCCAGCCATCACATGTGTAGCCTGACTTCCCTGAAGACCTCTGCCATCACCCCCGGAGGAACACAAAGACAGAGAAAGAAGTAAATAGCATGGGTCCATTGTTTTCTGTGTGTTCTCCAGCTTCCAGACTGCCCCTGTCCATAGCCTCCATCTCTCCACCCACTAAGGGTTAGGGCCAGATCTGTAAATCATGGAGATGTAGGCAGGAAAGGTGGAAAGCTGTGCACCCCACTGTGTTTTATATAAGGTAGGAAAAGAGATGGGAAGTGTGAGGGGTTTCACTCCACAATACCCCAGTGGGGCGGGGGGAGGGCTGGCTGGAGAAGAGATTCTAAATCTACCCCACTATCTTTTAACACAGTTACCTAAAAATAACTTCCCTCTAGATGGGTCAGCCTCATTTTTCCACCCACGAGGACCTGGATGGAGCCTTTGCTCACTCTTTTTCCTCTTGGCAGCCCAGCATGGGGTCTGGGAGCTGTGTCTCTGAGTCTAGTGAATGGCTGCATATTCTGTGAAGCCATTCTCCCAACAGTGTGAGTAGATGTGGGCGTTGATAGCTGATAGATACTAATGAACAAAAAAGATAAAAAAGGGGCAGCGGGGGGTGGGGGGACATATGGGGGGCAGCCACTGTCCCAGAAGTGCTCCTGCAGATCACAACAATGGGGACATGCCAGCAGGCCTCTTGCTGACAGGTTCTCGGATTCCAGATTCCCAGTTTGAACAGACAGGATGAGGTGTGAAGCAGGACAGGAAGAGAAAGGAATGCCTCCTAGCTCTACCCCTGAGTCCATCTTTCTTTTTCTTGCTCAAGTATGGAATAAGTATGGACTGTCAGATCCACATGACTATCCGGGTCCACAGAAAGTACTTGAACTGCACCTAGAATTTGTCTGCTCTGAGTGTGCCATCCTAGATGAGTCCATCCTAGATGTCAACACCATTTCACAGCTCTCAAAATCTAAAGAGCAGCACTGGCTGTGGAGTGGAGGGGGCTAACTGTGTTGTCCCTGGCACTCAGCCTTAAGAGGAAGACGGGAACACTGGAGGAGAAACCTTTTGGTGGAAGGTGGCTTCCAAGAGTTGTGCTGATGTCAGGGAGGGTTTCAGCAACCTGCAAGAAGCCATTAAGAAGTCACAGCAGCAGTCAGGCTTATGGTGCCTCGAGTGAGGAAGAAGTTCAGGCGGCTCTGAGCCCCATCTGCAGAGCTCACATTCCCCTTAGGGTTCTGATTCTCTCCGAGAACGGAGCATCTGAGTCCAGCCTTAGATTTGGGGACAAGTCAGTGGGGAATGCCACTGCAGAATGACTGCCCTCCAAGGGGAAAAAGAAAGCAATCTCCTTGCTGAGGAGGGTTGGAGGCCGGGTGGTGGTCAGCAGATTTTTTAAAATGCAGCATTTCACCAGGGAGCTATTCACAAAGGGCTAGCCTTTATGTGAACATTCCCTGGTGTTTTATAGAGAATCTCAACGTTTTTATTCTTCACATTGCTCAGAGCACCCAAATAGACGCTTCCTGCCCTGTATCCTTTCCTAGTCTGTGCCTGGCTCTCTCTTGTCCATAGGATGCTCTATTATAACTCAGCGTCTCCTCATGTTTTCTGGGTGGGGTGTAAGAAGACAGGGACCGTATCTTTCATCTGGGGAGTAGACCCAGTGCTATCAGAGAATGCCTAGATCCATAATCCCTTATCTGCAGTGCCAGATTCACAAAGGTCTGAATTCCTAAGGCTTTATCATAATTCATTTTTGCAACAAAAGCTGGGCCAAATGTTGTCAAAGTTGCAAAGTGAAAATGTAGTAGCAGAGCGGCCAAAACCAACTCTAATAGGTGTCAGGAGGGAAGGTGGACAGAGGGCAATGGGAGCAGTCGGCCTCATGTTGGGTACCCTATTAGTTAGTTAGCTTCATGTCACTCTAACAAAACACCCGACAAGGCCAATTGTCAAGGAAAGAAAGGTTTATTTGGATTCACAGTTCCAGGGATTCAAGTCCAAGACTGGATGACCCTATTAGTTTGACCCATGGTGAACATACATTCTGGTGGGAACGCATGTCAGGGTGGATGCTCACAACTGGAGACCATGAAGCATAGAGAGAGAGGCTCCCATAATCCCTACTGAGTGCAGTCTCCACTAGGGACTTCCCACAGGCTCTTGAAGGACCACAGAGAAAGATGCTGGCACTAGACATTTAAATACAGGCCTTTGGTGGGGACATTCCAAACTACAACAGGAATGAAGGACAGAGCAGGATATGAGAAGACACCTGTTCACACTCCACAGACAAGGTGCCAGGGCTGGTTTTGGAAGGGCAGAGCCACTCCTAAGGAATAATCAGTAGATAGAATAAACTTGGGCATATCTAGGCTGCCTGAGGAAGAAATTGATTCTCCCAGGGCTTGTATTTCTGTTCCATCACATCTCTTTTTCCTATTGTACACAAAAAATCAACTCATCTCCCCAAATCTTAAAATTCTATAAGAGATGATTCTGGACATACCACTAATTGTGATTAGGAATGTTTTCTTGAGTGAGTGACAGAATTTTTTATGAATAGATTTTATTTTTAAGAACAGTTTTAGGGTCTAGCAATTCTAAGTAGGCAACAGAGCAGAACCTTCCCTAAGACTCTTGCCCCCTGACACACACAGATGCCCTGCCATGGGCATCCATGGCAGAGTAATGCCGGCTTATAGTGAGTATGATCCAGCAAGGCATCTTCAATACCTCTTTGCTCTGGTGCCATCAGACGGAGGGAAGATACAACATTCAGTTCCTAGCTCAGCCCACCAGCCTCTTTCCTTTCTTCCCTGACTCAGCCTCCTAAGAAAGTTACTCATTTGCAAAACTGCAGAACAGAGATCAAGTAGGACAATAGACTTTTAATGGTGCACGTGTAGTGAAGGCAATAATCTTTCCGCAGAGAGAGGATTTGTAAGCAATGGTGTTAAAGATGGAAAATGACAAAGGAAGCCAGTGTTCTCCCTCAGGGTCCGAGGAGAGGAAGTAACACTGAACAGAAGTTTCTGGTTTCTCAGTGACTGAGAGGGCTAAGGCATTCTTTCTTCACCAATGCCTAGGTCAGCAGAAGACCAATGTCCCATTTTGTGGAAGCATGGCCCCAAGATTAGCAGTTCTGCTCACTTGAGGCCCTTCAAATGACTTTCTCCAGACAGTGTGCTTGATATATTGGTATATTTCAAGGATAGTGCAGTTTTACACCCCAGTGGACCATGTGAAGTGTGTGGAATCCCCTCCTCTTCATAGATGTGGGAACTGCAGAGGGCTGCAGGGAGTGAAGTGGCCGCGTCTCACAATGGTTGAGGCATGGAGTCAACCCTTGTCTCATTTTGGATGAGTACATAGCCCATGTTTCCTACAGGAAATGCAAGGCTGGCCATCACTTTAGTATGCTCTAGCCAACCATGACCCACATTAAAACCAGATTAGTTATTTTAAAATTTAATATACATAGTGAGAACAACAAAGTATTTTGTTGAAGCAAAGTATTTTTATTTATATATAGGCAGAAACAGTTCTGAGGCAAATATTCTTCTGAAGACCGTGGGACCGACTGTCTGTCTCAGACCATTTCTAAGTCACCCACTGATACAGTGACTTGCTTGGAGGAGAAAGCACTTCCTAAATACATGTGGCCATGGCTGCGTGTTTATGGAGCATCCTAAGTGGGAAATGGGAATGTTGTCACAGCCTCGGTCAAGGAGGATGGACTGACCTTTCTGCCCAGTGCTGAGCTCTGGGGTCTTTTTCTTTAGAGGGCCTCAGAGAAAGGATGGAAGACTAAAATAAAAAAAGAGCAAAAAGAATTGTGGTATCTAGGCATATGAAGAAGATTCTGGCAGACCACTGAAATCTGTTTTTCAATATGTGCGCGTGTTGGGACATTGGGTAGCTCTTCTGCTGTTGGGCATTCCTGAATACAACTTCTCTTGAAACCTGAATAAAATGATCTCAGGCCACGGAGAACTTGCCATGTGAACAAGAAGTGCTTTGGGGAACAGGAGCCAGGCTAGGTGTCTTAATTGCATCTCAAGAAAATATTTTCTTAGGATTAGGATGGGTCCGTTGGGTCTTGCTTTGAGGCAGGGGACTGGGCAGTATGGATCATGCAATAATGGGCAAGTTCATTCCAAGCAAGTCTGAGCAGTGGGCATTACTGATGATTCTGGACAGAGGGGGAGAGAGAAGAATTCATTCAAAGATGAACCACTCAGAGTGAAATAGAGAGGAAGACAGGAGAGGTCTCTAGAGCCAAAGCTGTTTGAAGAGATCCTAAAGCTATTGGGTTGAGGGTCACCTTGCCTGTGGGGAGTTGAACCTGCCTGTCCCAAGCAGCTAGGTTGGCCCTGATCCTTAGTCCCTACCACTTCCATCACCTGTGACAAAAAAATACTTGTAGCATTTGGTGACCTCAGTGCCACATCTGTGTGACGGCCTCTGTGGTCTGTGCCTCTCACCCTTATTCCCTCATGCAGAGAAGGTCAGGCAGGTTGAGGTGAGAGTGGGAAAGAGGATATCAAGCAGCCTCGAAACAAAAGGAAAAAAGGTGAAGGGAGCCTGGGCCCCTGGGATGGGCTTCCTGCGAGATCCTGAGTTTCATTAAATATAGAAAGGTGGAATAAAAAAATATTATTCGCTCATTGTTAACAGTTTCAAAGTCAGAAGCCAGCCTTGATTTCAAAGCACTTGTGTGTAATGTGATGCATGACTTTTCTCCTGTCTCTCTTTTTATAGGTAAGTGACATTTCATTCTGTTCATCCCCAAGGCAAAGTTGGATGTTTAAAAGTGGAAAAAAAAATGAGTGGAGAAAGAAACGGGGAAGGTGGGAAGAGGTGGAAGTCGAGGGTCAACCCAGGTAGGTGCCTGCTCTTCATTCTCCATTTTTCACAGACTTCGGGGCCTTTCCTTCAGCACGGGGCTGCGAAGCCTTTCTCCAGGACAGAAGGTCTGGGTCATGACTTTGGCTTTGAGATGGCCTCAAGTTTGCTCCTTGAAATGGGCTGGAGTGCGAACGTGCTGGATGCTCTGCCGACAGGGATGCATTCCTGGAGGGGGTCCAAGTTGGAAATGGCTTGGGGCTGTGTGTCCTGAGGCTGTGCCTCAGTCACTCTTGGTGGAACGATGCTTGAGGACCAAAGGGTTTTGATGCTTGTTTCTGGAAAGAAGATTAAGGCATTCCAAGGGAGAAAATGTAGGAACTAGAGAATTCCTGCTCTGAGAAGACTGTTAAGTGGGATAGGAAATTCTGTACAGAAGAGAAGTTTGTGGGGAAACTGAGCTCTGGAACATTAAGATTCATTTACTTAATTTTAAGGTCAATTTCATTACTGCTGGTGTATTTTTCAATTCCTGCATGAGCAGCCAGACTGAAACACTACTTATTTTCTCTTTAGCCTAAAACAGAGGTTTTTCTGGAAAGCTGGAGACTGATTTGTCATTGTAATAGTGATTGTCCTTTCCCAGTCACTCATGGAAGGCATTCAGTTTCAGGCAGCACAGCCTTCCACCGCTTGGAACGCAACCCTTCCCTGTGATTGCTGTGGACACGCGTCTTGCTCTCTCCCTTGTATGTTGTCAGGGATCTGTTGATATAATTGAGTGATGGCTCTGTCCCACAAAGATTTGTTACTGTCCTTGAGAGAGGAAGGGAAAGAAATGGAAAGCATCCTATTTAGCAGTCTATAAATCTAGACTGAGCATAAAACGCACTTGGTAAGATATCTAAAAGATTCGGTCCCTTCTCATGTCCAGTTAAAGGGGAAACACAGAGCAGTGTGGGGAAGGCTTGGTAAGAAAGTGAGAGTGCACTGGGAGCTACAGTAAAAGAGGAAACGGGATTGTGTGGTGTGTGTGTGCGTGTGCGTGTGCGTGTGTGTGTGTGTGTGTGTGTGTGTGTGTGTGTATGTGAGATAAACGGGTGTTTCAACTCAAACCTGGTGCCTCACTCATAACTCACAAGTACTCTGCCATCAGACCACAGCCTCAGCCTAAGAGTTTGAAATTAAAAGTGTCTAATTCCTTTCTAAAATAAATATATACAGAGGCATCCTTTAAATCTTTCCCTTCTTATCAAAAAGGAAGAGAGAAAGAAAGGAAGG